CATGTGAAACAAGCTTGTTCCTAATTTGAACTAATAAAAAAAAGAAAATCAAAAAAAAGAGAGAGAGAGAGTTGAAAGGCCAATAGCAAGGTAGAAGAAAGGATAGAAAGAATACATGGGGTAATGAGAAAAGGAGAGAGAACACCAGGGGGCAGCCACCCAGCTACACAACAAGCCATGGAGTAAAAAGCAAAGACAGATATACAGAACAGAGAAAGATGAAAGCCCAGAGGCAAAAGGTAGATGACATAATTTAAGCAAGGATGGCTAGGAACAAGCCAAGTTAAGGCCAGAGATTAATAAGAAAGAATAATATTCCGTTCCATTTATTTGGGAACTCGGTGGTGGGCTCCCAAAAACCAAAGAACCAAAAGAGTAAAAGACAAAACACACACACACACACAGCAACTACAAGTCTGGTCTACTAGTGATTTCCTGGACAGGCAGAGAACACAAAGAAACCCTGATCTAAAAAAAAAAAAAAAAAAAAAAAAAAAAAAAAAAAATGCCCAGCAGCTGTGCCCACAGGCCAATGTGATGCAGGCAATCCTTCAGCTGAGGCTCTCCCTCCCCAGTGTATGAAGCTGACAATCAACCATTACGGTGACTGGTGAGATGATGGCTCAGCACTTAAGAGCACTTTCTGCTCTTGCTGAGGACCAGAGTTCAATTCTCAGCAACCACATGATGGCTGGTGAACAATGTCTGCTGTCCCAGTGCCCTGTTGCCTTTGTGCTTGGCCATCTCTCATGTACCATCTAACTTAGCCCCCCAGCACCTCCTTTTCCCCACTTCTCACCTCTTCCCTGGATAAAAACCATGGAGGGTTGAGTTGAGTTGGTTGTCTCCACACTCAGGATCCCCCTACCCTTCCAGAAGACTCTGACAGCCACAGCAGTGACTACAGTCACTGCGCCTGCACAGGAGGCTCTAGTTGCTTCTATTGCTCACGAGGGCTGATCTAGGGAGGGGTGAGGCCTGTGAGCTTTGGGCAGGAGTCAGAACCGGGGGTGGAAAGACTGAGGACTGGGCAGCTGTTCACTAAAGGAAAAAAGAGACTGAGAACCACGTAGCCTTAAACCAGCCAAGGAAACACCTTCTTCCTAAATCTGGTTGACCAGAGAACCAGAGATTAACCTGACTTCACCTGTTGGGTCCCGTAACAGAAAAAGGTTGCTTTGTTTGTTACTAAAAGTTATGTGGTTGTGTACTTTAGCAGGACAATTATTCTTCGATATTTGTTTAGGCACAGTGAAGACTCAAAGCCACCAGGATGTAATCCTGCCCTCGGGTCATTTACTGTCACTCCAGTTTGGTGTCTTAATATCCAACTCCCTATAATGAGCACACGGCAGAAGCCCTTTGAATCCAGTATTTCTAGTGCCAAAATGATCCTTAAGCTCCCATATGATACTGCTTCTTCTCTCTTCTCTCCCCTCCTTACTCTCTGTCTTCTCTTTCCTTCCCTCTGCACCCCTCCCCCTCCTTTCCTGTACCTATCCCTGCCCCATCTCTCCCCTCTCCATCCCCTTCTGCCTGCCCCTGCCCCCCTATGTATCTCAGGCTGAGTTATTCTTCATTTGTTGTAGTTTTTCAAAACAAGGTTTCTTTATGTAATTGTCCTGGCTGTCCTAGAACTTGAATTTTAGACCAGGTTGGCCTTGAACTCGTGAGATCTACCTCTGCATCCCAGAATGCTGATGATGAAAGGCATGGCTGGGCTCATCACCCACTCTTCAAGATGCTCCCCTAATGAAATGTCTTTCCCATTAATCCTCAGCATCCAGGACTAGAGGGAATGATGTTCTCTGAGGATCTAATTATGTTCTGTAGACAGGGAATACAGTCACCAATGCCCAATTCTTTCAGTAGGTGATTTATTAGAGGGCACAGTGTGTGGTGAACACAACCAAGCAGGCAGGGATGATGTAGGCAGTAACTGAGGTGACAAGTCTAACACTTAATGTTTTTGTTCTCCTTGTTATACGGAGCCTTGGAGAAGCAGATGGCGGCTTCCCTGTCACAGTTGCAGATGAAGGCCTCACAGGCGTTGTTTTTGTCTGCAGAGAAACAAGAAAGCAAGTTGAGTGGAGCCCATGACTCTGTTCTGTACAATTTATTACCAAAGACACTGGTGGCCCTCCCACAGGTGCAGACTCAGGATTGAGAGACAGACCACACAAAAGGACATTGCGTTGCCCAAATTGCTGGAACACACTTATAATAAAAAAAAATAAGTTGTTGTGGGGCTGGGAAGATGGCACAGTTGGTGAAGTGGCTTCCATACATGCATGAGGGCCTGACCTACAATGCCCCGGGCCCACGAAAAAAGCAAGGTGTGGTTGGGGCATCTGTAAGTCTATTGGGAAGTGGGGAGCACAGATCCCCAAAGCTTGTTGATCAGTCAGGGTAGCTAAAGATGAGTGTCCTGTTTAGTGAGAGACCCAGCCTCTAAAGACCTGGTAGAGAGTGACTGAAGAAGACACAGGAGGCCAACTCATTCCTATACATAAAAATATTCCTATACATAAAAAAACAGGGATATTTGATCCTAAAACCAGGAAAACTACACATATCAACCACCACTTCTAAAATTATATGATTCATGACAATCCTCCTGTCTCCACCTCCCAAGTGCTAGGATTGCAGGTGTGCACCACCACACTCAATGTATGGGTTCTGGAGGTGGAACCCAGGGTTCTGTGCATGCCAGACAATCTCTCTAGCAACTGAGCTATGTCCCCAGCCCTCTGAATCCTCACATGTAAAATGGGAATGATAAATCTTGTCCTGCATAGGTGTTTAGTCCAGTGTTGGCTTACAGCCAATGATGCAGCTTTCAGTTGTTTAGTAAATATGGAATCAGTATAACATAGCAGCTAATAGGAGAGGCTTTGGGCAGGCAAGATGGCTCAGGGAATAAAGACACTTGCTGCCAAGTCTGAAGTCGAGTTCCGTCCCCAGGACTCACATGGTCGAAGGAGAGAACAGACTCCTGAACTTTGTCCTCAGATCTCCACACCTGTGCTGTGGCACAGACATGACTCCACCAGAATTACATAAAATCTTTAAATGTTTTTAAAAAGAGGTTTTGGAATGATGTAGACCTGTGTTCCAGAAGCAAAAGCCATCACTTCTAAGTGGGGTGACCTTGGGAAAGTGGCCCAGCTTTCCTTCCTTATCTTCCTCATCGATGTCCCAGTCTATATTTTAGTGTCTACCTGATATGGTTGTTTTGAGGTCAAATGAGATCAGGGAAATGTCCACTAAATGGTGACTGTCCTTGTTACTTCAATGCCCCTTCCAAACCTGCCAAGGGCCAAACAGAGTCCAGTCATCTGGGACGGTAAACCTACCGCTGCAGGTGATCTTATTCCCAGAGCAGGAGTAGGAGTAGGAGTTAGTGTAGGGGTTGTCTATGAGGAATTTACAGCTATCCAGCTTCTTGGCCTGAGTGTAGCAGTGGTCGTGAGTCTGGCAGCACCTGGACAGAGGAAGGAACAGCTGAGGGAGGAGCATGAACACACAGGAGACCAGTTCTTTTCAAATCTGTTAATTTCTCAAAGGTTACTATTACTAAACCTGATGTCCAGAAGAAAGTGTCCTATGGCTCGTGAACCTGTGGTCTCCATTAGCATGTATGTGTTCAATTTTTTTATTTTTTGAAACAGGGTTTCTCCTCAACAGCCCTGGATGTCCAGGGAGTCACTCTGTATACGAGGCTGGCCTCAAACTCACAGATATTTGCCTGTCTCTATCTCCTTAGTGCTGGATTAAAGGCTTGTGGAACCATGGCCCAGTATTAGGATATGTTTATTAAAAGCCATTTTTGCCAAGTGTGGTTTGTGCCAGCCTTTAATACCAGTACTTGGGAGGCAGAGGCAGGTGAATCAGTTCAAAACCAGATATTGATACATAAATGGGAACCTGTCTCGAAAAAAAGTGATTTTTTTAACAAAATTGCTCAAATATAGTGAAATTATATATCCTGAATTTGTGACGACTTTTTAAAACCAAGGCTGACACCTTGATGGTGGCTGTAATGGTTGGTCATGCCCTAGTCTGCCACTGGGTGGCAGCATTGCCCACTATTTACATCTCACACATTCTGCTTTTCAGGGCCACTAGATACAGGGTTCTCTAGGACCAATTTCTCTACATGACAAGAGGGGGAAATACATGCTTGGTGGTGATGCACACCTCAAATCTCAGCACTCAGGAGGAAGAGACTCAAGGATCTCTGAGCTCAAGGCCAGCCTGGTCTATAGAGATTTCCAGAACAACTAGGGCTAGAGAAACCCTGTCTGGAAAATACAAACAATAAATAATAAGTAAATTTAAAAAATGTGATGTTTAGTGAATATGCCTGTCTCCTTATTCATGCTTCATGAGATGCTCTGTTTGTGCCCTGTCCTCATGCCAACACAGACACCCCAGGCCCCACCCACCTGATTAACTCACCTGTCTAATTCGTCCACTGGGGTGCCTGAACCACCCAAGCCACAGTAGCAGCCATAGTTGTTGTAATCCTTCAGGGGATCACTCCCTGGAATGGTGCACTTGATCATCTTTCGGAACTGCCATAGAGCCCGAGTTGTGATGGTGTGCGCAGTTGCGCCTGCTGCAAGAGTGCACAGCACATTCCATCAATCCCACTTGGCTTTACCAGGGGTCTGATGTCTGTCTGCTAGCTTCCTCCTTGACTCCTGCCAGCTGCTTCATCTGGAGAGCAGTGAAACAATGGAGGTGTGGAGGTGTAGAGGTGTGTGTGTGTGTGTGTGTGTGTGTGTGTGTGTGTGTGTGTGTGTTTGCCCGCACACACATTCAAAAGCACACACTTGGGAGCATTTATAATTGTCATGCTACACATGAGGAGGTCAGAGGTCAGCTTTAGGGAGTTGGTTTTCTCCCTCCACTTTGTAGGTCTTAGAGATCAAGTTGAAGTCACCAAGCCTGAGCAGGAAGTGTGTACCTTTTTGAGACAGGGAAGGACTGACCTCTTAGTTCAGTAACCCAACAATCCAACCATGTCTTGAGTGTGAAACCTGCCCCACCCCTACTCAAGCCTAGGTGAAACCCCAGCCTTAGCCAGCAGTGGGATTCATCACAGTTCTAGCTGAGACCTTGAGCCAGAGAAGCAGCCAACACAGGCTTATAGCTTTACACTGGAGAATTAGATGGAATCTGCTGTATGACCACACAAGGCTCAAGTACAAGGCTGATGACCAGATCACCATGTGTAACATCTGTATTTGACATAACAAACTGTTCATCAGCTGAGGAGTAGGTAAATAAGCCAGGATTCAGTCTGCAGTGGTATACTTGGCCATCACTGAAATGAAGGAGAAGTCAGGTACAGTGGAACACACACTGTGTAATCACAGCACTCTGGAGGCAGGGGCAAGAGGATCAGAAGTTCAAGGTTATCTTTGGCTACTAAGCAAGTTTAAGGCTTGCCTGAGCAATATAAGACCCTGTTTCAGTCAAACAAGGCAAGGGTTAAGGACTCTGTTCAGTTTGGATTGTGCTTGCCAAGCTTGGAGGGACCTTTGACCCCACTCCCAGCACCACATACACATCCCCCAAAACCCTGGAGGATCAGAAATTCAAGGTAACACTGGGCGGAATGGTGCATCTGAGGCCATGTGGTACCCTGCCTCACAAGAAGGAACTGGAGGGGAGGAGGAAGAGAAGACAGAGGCAGAAATGGTAACACAGTGCGGTCCCCATGACCCCCACACTCAGGAAATCCCACTAGGAAGTCGATCAGCTAGGAGGTCCATGTTAAAGCGGGGTCAGTGTGGGTCAGTTCTGGGTTTGTCTCCCTGTAGCCTTTCAGGACCACTGTGAACACAATCATAATGCAAGGGATGCCCTGGATTGCCCTCAGCCCTCTTGTCATTCCTGCAGCTTCTCCCTTCCATAGTCTGGGATTCCACTTCACGTCTTCCTTCTTTCCACTTCCAGGCCTGCCCAGGTCACAGATGAACAAGTGTCCGGAAGTGTCAACACACTAGCCTCTTCTGAGACACTCTCTACAAGTGCTTGGGCAGAATTTTTATTATTTACTTAATCTTCTGCTTGTTTTTTTAAGGGTCCGACTATATTCCAAGCTGGTCTTGAATTCTCAATCCTCCTGTCTCAGCCTCCTGAATGCTAGAATTATAGGCACACACCAACCACCATGCACCAGAGCCATCTCACATCTTGAAAGGCTAGGAGTTTGGTTCCGATGCTTCCCCATTAAAGAGGCCCTTCCTGGCCACATACCCAAGGAAACCCTCTGCTGTTACTTCTCTTCTGCATACCACTTCTGCATAGCACTTCGGTTTGTGTTTGCATTCATATTTCCATGTTAATGTGCATGAGTGTGTTCGTGGATACAGAGGTCAACATCTGGAGTCTTCTTAAATCACTCCCTAGTTTTTGAGACAGGGTCTCCCAGAGAGCCAGGAGCTTGCTGTTTGACTATGGTGGCTGACCAGCAATCCCCAGAGATCTTCCTGTCTCCATTTCATTTCCCAAGTGTTGGAATTATGGGGGTGTGCCACCGCCGTGCCTGGCTTTTTCTGTGGGTGCTAGGCATCCTAACTCAGGGTCATGCTGCTTCATAGCATTTCATTTTTTTAAGATTATTTTATTTGTAAACCCATGTGCATCACTTGCATGCCTGGTGTCTGTGATGACCAGAGGGGGGTGTCCAATCCCCTGTAACGGGAGTTACGGAAGTTATAGGTGTGGGTACTGAAACCCAGGTCCTATGGAAGAGCATCCAGTGTTCTTAACCACTGGGGGGGGGTCCTCTCTTCAGCCCTCTTAGCATTTCTAACCCCCTTTACACACATGTGCTAACGTGCTCCCTCCCTCTCTGTAAGACACAAAGTTCCCAAGGGCCATCTCATGGTTTTCCTTAGACTCTATCATTGTGCCTAACACACTCCGTGTGTGTGTGTGCTGTGTGTGTGTGTGTGTGTGTGTGTGTGTATGTGTGTGTGTGTTTACATATATGTGCTTCTGGAGTAAGAGCACACCTGATTCATCTTTGATTCCCCAGTCTCAGTCTAGAACCTGACTGGTTTCAGGTCGCAATCATCATTTGATGAATATAAATGACTCATATGCCAAATATGTTTTATTCAGTGTATGATGCCATTCATTGTTTATGTTTATGGAGCATACGTGTGTGTGTGTGTGTGTGTGTGTGTGTGTGTGTGTGTGTGTGTGTGTGTGTAGATGGGGGCCAAAATTCATAATGAATTTACAAGATAAGAATTGAAGACACACCAGGCAGTGGTGCGCTCGCCTTTAGTTCCAGCACTGAGTGGCAGAGGCAGGCGGATCTCTGAATCTGAGGCTAGCGTGGTCTACAGAGTGAGTTCCAGGACAGCCAGGGGAGCTACACAGAGAGACTCTGTCTCAAAAAAAAGAAAGGAAGAAAGAAAGAAAGAAAGAAAGAAAGAAAGAAAGAAAGAAAGAAAAAAAGGAAGGAAAGGGGGGGAAGAATTGTAGACACAATCCCAGCATGTATGTAATCCTAACACTTGGGAGTTTGAGGCAAGTCTGGGCTATAATGTTGAGTTGGAGGATTTCCCCAGCTGCATTATAAGATCATATCAGTAATAATAATAATAGTAATGATGATGATGGCTGAAGACATGGCTCAGCAGGCATGAGCACTTGCTGAGCTTGCACAGGACCCAGGCTGGGTTCCAGCACCGACATGGAAGCTCACAACTGTCTATGACCCCAATTCTGGGAGATCAGACCTCTCTCCTGGCCTCTGTAGGCACTGCTCACACAGTTCACAGACAGACATGCAGGAAAAATGCTCATACACATAAAATAAAAGTCAACATTTTTTTAAAAGAATGAGAAAAATCAAATCACTAGGACAGCTTAGGGCCAGGGAAATGGGTGCCGGGGCAATATAGCAGAGGCAGAGGGGCAGTCTTTCTTTGGGTAGGTGAATGTAGTGGACTTTTCTAAGGGGTCACCTGAGTTTAGGCCTAGAGATTAAAAGTGCCAGCTCTTCTGGATGGGGGAGAGAAAGGAAACCCAATCCACGGGCTATTAGACCCCAGTGGGAACCCCAGACAAGAACTTCAACTGTGGCTACCCGAGGTCTGTGCATTGAAGACAAGGGAGATGGTAGGGCACTCAGAGGGGACAAGGGTCCTACCTGTGAGCAGAGTGACCAGCAGAAGGAGTTTCATCTTGAGTGAAGGGAGAACTCAAGTGACGTCTCTCTTTATAGTCGGGGGCCCCACACTTTCACGATAAGGCTGTTTGCTTTGCTCTTAGCCACTCTGGGCTGGCCTTGAGCCTACTGGTGGAACAACCCAGTGGGATTTGCCTGTCAGAGATCACTGAAAACGGTGTCATGGATTTGTGACTGGCATTTTCTCACCAAGAGGATGGGTTCTGGAGTTTTCAGACCTTGGAATCTTTTATTTTATTTTATTTTATTTTATTTTCCAAGTCCCAGGCTGTCCTGGAATTTACTAGGTATCTGAGGAAAACTTTCAACTCACAATGTAGCTGAGGATGACCCTGAATTTCTTTTGAAAAATAAAAGATTTATTTTATCTTTAATTATGTGTATGTCCATGTGTCAGTGTGTGAATGGGTGAGTTTAGATGCCACAAAAGCCAGAAGAAGGGTGTCAGATTCCCTGGAGCTGGAGTTAAAGCCACCAACAGAGGTGCTGAGGATGGAACCCGGGCTCTGCAGCAACAGCCCACTCTTAATCCAAAGCCCAGCCCTGAGCTTCTGATGCCCCTGCATTTATCTCCAAGTGCTGGGGTGGCAGGCGAGCCCTGGGTGTGCTTCCCCGGGAATTGAACCCAGGATTTCACGCTTGCTGGACATACCCTCCCCAGGCCTGACTGAGAATATGTTCCTCACCTCCATCTACAATCTAGCTTCAAGGGGCTAGGGCATCTATCCTGTTGGACACCTGCAAGAAGGGGACAAGTGGAAATGATTGCTGCCTTTGTGTCATGTGATGCTTGGGTTTGTGTGTGGGGGTGCCATTGCATGGTACTGTCATGCACTTTACACAGGAGGAAATGGGCTCAGAGAGCAAAGTGATTTGCCTAAGGTCACACAGCCAGCAAATGGAGAGCAAGGTTGGCTCAAGTGTAGATCTGCCGAATCCCAAGGCACACATCTTAATTTTTTTCCCACCATGTAAACTTCACTTCCCTTTCTCACCTCCCAGTGGAGGTTTGTGAGAAAATTTGGGGGATGTGGAGTTCTAAAGCCTTAGGTGTGACTTACGGATTAGCAAGGACTTTTAGTAGGGTTATATCAAGTGTGTATGTGACATTACACTTTAAAAACTTTTGTTTGTTTCTTCATTATATGTGAATATACATATGGTGCGCATGGGGAGGTCAGAGGGCAACTTGAAGGATTGGTTCTCTGTTTCCACCAGGTGGGTTCCAGGGATCAAGCTTGGCCCAGAGTGTCTAGCCACTGAGCCTTCTGACCAGTCGAAATATGTAACTTTTTTTTTTTTTTGTCACAGTTTAGATAGCATAGCATTAGCTGGTGAAAGTGTGTAAGCGGCACTGAATGCTTTGACTACGTTGTGCAACCACCACCTCTAATTAGTTCCAGAACATTTTTATCATCCCAAGAAGAACCTTGATCCAATTGGTAATTACTCCCGTCCCCACCCCTGAAAACTACCAATCCTTGTGTTCCCATGGGCTTCTGTCTTCTGGATGGAACCCAGGGCTTTGTGCAAGCTGGTCAAACACTTAACTGAGCTCTATCTCCAGACTCTGGTTTTTGGTCACTGTGTATTCCAGGCTGGCTTCAAAGTCCCAATCCATCTCCCTCCACCTCCAGCTGGCTGGGATTACAGACATGTACTACCATGCCTGCCTGTGTGTACTTTGTGTCTAGCATGGGCACATATGTGTTTGCAAGTATCGTATGTGTGTGCATGCCATGTGCATGTTGGTGGCTGTGGATACCAGAGTTTCTTCCTCAGTTACTCTGTACCTTATTTTGGGGATACATGGTCTCTTGCTGAACTGGAATTCAGCAATTCAGCTAGAATGGCTGGCTGGCTGGCTGGCTGGCTGGCTGGCAATCTCCAGGGCTCTGCCTGTCTCTGTGCCCCCTGCCCAGCTTTTCCATGGATGTTGTAGTTCCAAACTCTGGTGCTGTTTTACCTTCGTTACAGTGGCTGCACTTTGCACTACTAACGTCTGGCACTAAGATCATAGCCTGGGGAGAATTCTGTTTCCTCTGACAATAACTCTGTTGCTACCGCTAAAGGTAGCTCTAACTAGGCCAGGTGTTGGTGGTGCATGCCTTTAGTCCCAGCACTCGAGAGGCAGAGACAGGTGGATCTCTGTGAGACTAGCCTGATCTACAAGAGCTAGTTCCAGGACAGCCTCCAAAGCCACAGAGAAACTCTGTCTTGAAAAACAAACAAACAACCACAAAAAAGGTAGCTCTAACTAAATCTTTATGTATTAGAGATTCAAAGGCTAGGGTGAAAACCTGTGAGCTCAGAGAGTTAGAGTACCCAGCCGGCTGATTTTCCCTCTTTGCTGGCACACCAGAAGCCACTCCCTTCCACAACACCCCAGCCTCACCTGGAGTGAGGTCCTCTGTGTGTGAGTCATTGCAGAATCCACTATTCCTCTCCTAAGTAAGCGATAAACTCAAGGCTAACCTTTGCCCGCGTGTGATCCCAGTTCTTGAGGAAGCACCAGAGCTGATAGTGTACCTCAGGACTAGAGTGTTCAGTGTCTGCCTAGCTCGTGTGAAGTCCTGAGATCAACCCCTACCAACATGCATGCGTGTACGCAAACACGGAAGAAAAAGATGAACACAAGAAAATAAAACAAGCATGGTGGCATGTGACTGTGATGCCAGCACTCAGGAGGCTGAGGCAGGAAAACGGAGAGTCCTAGGCTAGCCTGTGCTACAGAATCACTCTTGCTCCTCTAGCCTGCTCTACAGAGTAAATTCCAGGACAGCCAGGGGCTACACAATTAAACTCTGTCTCAAAAAACCACCTCCCCTCCAAAAACAAACACAACTGGGAATGTAGTTGGACAGTAGACCACTTCCCTAGTGTGTGGAAAGACCTGGGTTCCAGCCCCAGAACCACATAATAACAGCAAACTCTCCATTTCTCAGAGTGCTTCGGAGGTTGAGTGACATCCCACCAGGGGCGCCTCCGGGCAGTGAGTGCTGCAGGCTCCTTCAAGGCAGTCTGGACAAATTCTCCTGCACAGGGGCTCAGGCTGAGAGCCTGCAGTGGGGAGAGATGGCCTAACAATGTGTTCCACACAGAAAGGCCACGTTAAGTGACAACTATGGTCTGCAGTCACCAAAGACCTCCCCAGACCCTTGCAATCTGTGCCTTGGCTTCTGCTGGCCGAAATCCATGCACAGGTGTGTGAACACCTCCTCTCCCAGCCTGGAAAAACCCCACAATCTCTAGTGGAAAGAACAGCCCCCGATAGCTTCTTGACTCCTTCAGGTGCCAGCATCCCAGATCCAGCAAGGTCAAGGTCACGTCTGCTGGGTCCTGGAAGGATAAGGCTCCCGCTTCCTGGAACTGCTTCCAAGAGCTGTGAGCTGCCACTGCTGAGCGCTCCTGCGGGCCTGGCAAAGAAGTCGATGAATTTAGCCCAAGATGCCCAGTCACAGGTCTCCTGAAGTCATCTTCACCATTTGATGAAGTGGGCTCCAAGAGGTTAGATGATTTGTTCCCAGCCGCACCACCTGAAAGTGGTGGTGCTGGAGAGAGGCGTGGTAGTGTTGCATGCCTGCAATCCCAGCACTTGGGAAGCTGGAGCAGGACACTTGTGAGTTCCAAGCTGACTTGGGTTACAAAGTGAGACCAGCTCTAAAAATAAGGTTAGTGGGCAGGGGCTGCAGAAATGGCCCAGAAGTTAAAAGCACTGTCTGCGCTTCCAAAGGACTAGGTTCAATTCCCAATACCCACATGACCTCTGCAGGCACCAGGCATGCAAGTGACACACATACAGACATACAGGCAAAACACCTATGCATAAAAAATAAAAGTAAGAAAATAATTAAAAGGGAGGAGAGGGCTGGGAAGATGACTCAGTGGATAAAGTAATTGTATGCAAGCTTGAGGAACAGAATTCATTCCATGCTGGTGGGCATGACAGCTCTCTTGTAATCCCAGTTCACAGGGAATTGGAGAAAGGGGGCCCTCCCATCACACACTCAGCAACCTGGCCTGTATCATCGTGCTCTGGGCTCAATTGAGAGACCCTGACTAAATAAAATGGAGAGAGATGGGAGAAGACTGCTCAGTGTGGATGCTGGGAAGTGAACCACCCTGTTGTTTCTTTTCCTTTTGTTCCTTCCTTGTGCTGGAGACAGAAGTTGGGTAAAGTGGAAAATCAGGACCATGAAGAAAATAGGACAGGACAGTAGCAGTGAGGAAGTTTAAAATGTGTGTGTATGTGTGTGTGTGTACGCACACGTTGTTGTAATTTAAAAAGTGGGGAGAGAGAGAAAAGAGAGACACCATTCCACAGAGCTCACATGGAGGGGTTTATTAGGGGGATGGGAATGGAAAAGGGGGGAGAGGAGGGGAGAGACCAACCTCTGGGGGACAGAAGCAGCAGTAATGGGGGGAGACAGAGAGAGGCAAAGAAGCAGAGAAAGGGGAGAAAGAGAAAGGGGTAGGGGAGGGAAGGAGGGAGAGGGCAAGAGATGGGAGGTAGACAGGGCCCTTTTAAAAGGGAATGTAGGGAATGTGCACAGGTGGTGCTCTTAGTGGCTGCAGCTGAGGGCGTATCCTGTCAGAACCCCAAGGACAGGCCAGTAAAGATGGATGGACACAACTGTGTGTCTGTGTGTGTGTGTGTGTTGTCATGGAGAACTTTCAGAAGTCAGAGGACAACTCTGGAATCAGCTCTCTCTTTCCTCCTTTATGTGGGTCCTAGGGATCCAACTCAGGTCACCAGGCTTATGCAACAAGTACCCTTTACTGATGGTCACTTGAGTCATCTAATGTCTTAAAAGTTTTTGTTTGGGTAAATGAAATAGTTTATGGAATAAAAGCACCTGACATATAAACCTGACATGAGTTCATCCACCATAAACCACAGTGGAAGTTCAAAATGAAAACAAACCTAAATGGTTTTTCGTTTTAGAGATCTTTACATGTAGACCAGGTTAGCCTTGAACTCACAGAGTTCTGCCTGTTTCCTGAGCTGCATTCAAAGGCTTGTACCACCACTCGCCACCCCCAGAAGGCTTTATGTTTGGTGCTTTTCTTTCTTTGGGGTGGGAGGTAAAATATGACCTCCCTGTATAGCTCTGGCTGACTTGGAACTCACTATGTAAACCAGACCCACAATAAATTTGCAGGCATCTTCCATCTCAGCCTTCTGGGTTCTGGGGCTGTGGTCATGAACCATGACTGGCCCTTTGCCATTGGTTTCTTTGAAACAGGGTTTTACTGTGGAGACATGCTAGGTTGGAACTGAAGATTCCTTTGCTTCAGCCTCCTGGTTGCTGTGGTTACAGGAACACACCACACCTGGCATTTATGAATCATAACTTTTTATTACTTCACTGTGTGTGCATGCACCCACGTACACACGTGAATAGGAGCATGGGTGTTCCAGAGGATGGCTTGAGAGTCAGTTGCTTCTCCCACCAAGTGGGACCCAGGGATCGAAGTTAGGCCAACAGGCTTGAGTGGCAAGCTCCTTGACCCTCTGAGCCACCTGTCAGCTTGTCATTATGAAAACACTTGCACCACTTAAAGTTTAAAGAAATGGGTAGAATCTTCTGTTACTTCATCTTCTTTTTTACAAAACTGGAGACTGAATTTAGGGCCTGTGCATTCTAGGCCTGCATTCTGCCCCTGGGCTACAATCCCAGGCCTCCACTGTTGACCCAGAGGAGGGGGCCAGTTATAAAGCACCTTCTGCCTCTCAGGGCCACTGCAAACAGCACACATGGAGACTCAAGCTCAGCACCGTTTTCAAATAATTTATTAGGAATGTAAAACAAAAGAAGACCTGGAAAAAGAAGTTACAGATGTGGAGAGACACCGAGGGTGGAACTTGCTGGCTTCAAAAACACCATGTAACATCTTTAAAAAAAAAAAAAATTTTTTTTTCCTCAAACAAAACAGAAAATGGAATTCCAGGTCCCTGAACCCATGGTTAGGCCCAGTGGGGTGAGCGGGTCCAGGGATGGGGGGGGGGAAGGAAGCTAAGTCTCCTGGGGCTCAGCTCAGATGCGTAGAAAATTAAAAATAAAAACCAATAAAATGCAGCTTCTCTTTTATTAGGAAATATTAAAACAAAAAACAAAAAACAAACAAAAAAAAAAACAGCCGCGCATCTTGGTGACAAAGATTATTGCTTTGAGTTTTCAGGGCTAATAGGTTGAGTGAGCGCCTCACATAGACAGTTAACTCTCCAAGGGGGGTTTTGAGGGGTGGGGGCTCTGCTGGGGAAGGAAGCTTAAGCCCCCATCCTCAGACATGGGTGAGGAAGGACACAGAGAGGGGATGACAGCAGGTAGGCCTCAGCCCTGCCAGGTCTCGCTTCATGTTCACACCCTCTGAAAGGGGCTCCAGGGTAAGGGGCTGGCTACCAAGGGCTCTGGTCGCGGGACTATCCTGGTGGGGAACTTCAGTGAGAATGTGGGGGTTCCCTGAGAAGCCCTTTGCTTTCCCTGGCATTGTCTCCTAACTGAAGTGCCCCTGATGCCCACCCACGGTGAAGGTCCTGCCTAAGCTGTGGCGTTCAGAGAGCTAATTCCTTCCCAGCGGTGGCTCTAGGCAGGCCCTCCTCTTCCCTGGTCCCAACACGGGGTTTTGGGGGAGAGTAGGCCTTGAACCCTGGAGGCCTGACAGTGTGGGCCTTCTGGTGGCCAGAGCTGAGGTCTGCAAGCTTACAGTAAGTCTGAAGAGGAAGAGGGGACAGAGACAGGGGACAAGGGGAAACCTTTGCCCTGTGGGGTCGGGCAATGCCCATACCCCAAGGGATCTTAGAGAGGGGTGTGGATAGGGCTTCACCTCACAGTATTTACATATGATACAGGACGGGCTGGTTCCAGGGGCTCGGCCTGGTCTACCCGCTGCCCTGCCCGCTGCCCTCCTCTCCAGGGCTGGAGGGAGGTGGCCAGGAGCCCACACCCATAGACACTTTGTTCTCAGCTGGTGGGGGGGGCACCTGGCCCCTTGCCCCCTATGGCCCGGGGCTTCACATTCACAAACCTAGAAATAGTTTAAAAACAGTTCCTTTAAAAAAGAAAAAAAAAAAAAAAAGTAAAGAGCAAAAGAGGGAAAAGCCAGAATAAAAAAACAACAGTTGGGGCTTCGGCCTGTAGCAGGCTCCCTGCCCCACTCTAGCTATGCACAAATACAAAAGCCTTCTTGGGGTGTTCTAAAGGGGGCAGCAGGGAAGGAGGGGGCAGACCCGAGGGGGTAAATCTGGTAGGGGGAGAACAACCGGCTAATCCAAAATAAATAAAAGCAAAACGGAGAGGCAGGTAGGGGGTGGGGAGAGGGGGCAACGTCAGAAAAGGGGAGATTAGTAGGTAGGAACCAGACATGTGGGAACAGCAGGGCGGGGGCTGAGCCCAGGGGCTGGGGGACAGGCAGTAGCGGTCCGGTCCGAGGTGCAGCGGAGGGGCTGGGCTGCTGCGGCTGAGGTGTCCCCATCCCCTTGCTGGCTCACTCTGGTCCTCAGTCAGCTGCAGGCTGGGGCGCTGAAAGGTAACAGCAAGATACTGGGTGCTCCGGCCCACCTGGTCTCTCTCTAGGGCCCATAGGATAGCCATGCCCCACCTTCCCTATTCCCTTCCTAGAAGAATTTTGCTGACTTTGTACTTCTGTACATGGTGGGTTGAGGCTGGGCACTTTCCCCGGATCTTGAGTGGCTAGGTTTTGTCATGTTCACTGGGAAGCTAGTCCCACTTGTAAACTATTTGCTTTATTCTTGCGTTTTTAAAAGATTTACTTTTTTGTTTCGTTTTGTTGCTTTATTGAGACATCTTTATTAATATAATAAAACACCAGAAGGGGCAGAAGACTACCTGTATCGATTCTAATTTTGTTTTTTTGTTTTTTTTTTAAGATTTACTTTATTATTATGTTTTTAACTATGTTTACCGCTGGGCAAGTTGGTACATGCCCTTTAGGCAGAGGTAGGCAGATCTCTGATTAGAGGAATTCCTGATCTCAGCAAGTGCCAGGCCAACCATGACTCTGTCTCAAAAATTAAAATAATGCTCACTTGTGTGCTGGTGTGTGCACATGAGTGCAGGAGCCTGCGGAGAGAAGCCAGCACTGAATTTGAATCCCTAGAACTAGAGTTACAGGTGTTTGTGAGCCACCTGATGTGAATTCAGGTCTTCTGCAAAGGTAGTTAGTGTGTCTTTGTAACCACTGAACCATCTCTAATGCACCATTATTTTTACACCTTTTTAAAGATTTATTGTGTGTATTGTAGGTGGCCTCAAACTTGTGGTTCTCTTCCCCTCCATCAGTTTCTGTCTCTCTGTCTCTGTCTCTGTTTTGTTTGTTTTTTGTTTTTTTGTTTTTGTTTTGTTTTGTTTTGAGACAAGGTTTCTCTGAGCAGCCTTAGCTGTCCTGGCACTCACTCTGTAGACCAGGCTGGCCTCGAACTCACAGAGATCTGCCTGCCTCTGCCTCCCGAGTACTGCAATTAAAGGGGTGCACCACCAACGCCTGGAAACTCCTGCCTCCATCAGCCTCTTGAGTGTTGTGGTTACACATAGGAACCATGTAAGCCTATCTCATATTCTAACAGCTGTGTAATTTTCCATTATGTGCATATATTCTGTCTATCTATATTCTTTTGTTTTGTTTTGAGATATGGTCTCCCTATGTAGCCCTACCTGTCTTGGAACTTGCTGTGTAGATCAGGCTGACCTTGAACTCACAGAGATCCACCTGCCTCTGCCTCTGCCTTCCCAAGTGCTGGGATGAAAGGCCTGATACACGATGCCAGCTAATTAGCAATTTTTAAAATAAATGCCTATAAGTGGTTATTACCGAGTCAAAGGATATGACTGTTTGAAAACCTGGATGGGGTGCTGAGAATGGTTCAATGGTTAAGAGCACTTGTTGCCGAGGACCAGGATTTGGTTCCCAGAACCCACATGGCAGCTCATAGCCACCTCTAACTCCAGTTGCAGGGGCCCTGATGCCCTCCTTGAGCATACACACATGCAGGCAAAACACATATACATAAAATAAATTTAAAATCAAACCAAACCTGGACAGGGCTGGGGCCGTAGCTCATGTAGATCATGCTAGGTGTGCACAAGCCCTGGGTTCAATCCCCAGCCCAAATTAAAAATCTCAGCTTGTAAGACCATCCCTTGGGAACTTGGAGCCAATTTAGACAGAGTCATCAACGGTAGAAAAAAAGTCTTTGTCAGTCCAATGAAGTATGATTAAATTTATATTTCATTTACATATTAGCTACATTAATTTATATTTGGCTTCTTGAGACAGGGTCTTGTTATGCCTATCAGGCTGGCTTTGAACTTATAATCTGCCGACCTCTGTCTCCCCAGTGCTGGGCTATTTATATGCTATTTGTGTAGAGGCATCTGTTGTATTGGTGTATTCACTTGTTAGTGAGTACAGTATGTATGTGTGTAAGTGCACCCATGTGCCTGTGCACGTGGAGGTCAGAAGTGGATGGCAACTGTCTCCTCCATTTGGCTAGAATGGCTGGCTAATGAGCTTCAGGGCCCCGCCTGTCAGTGCTAGGGGTCCCGGGGGTGTGCCACCATGCTCATCTGTTTACGTGGAACCCAAATCGGGTCTCCATGTTTGCTCAGCAGGGACTTTACCAGCTCAGCCATCTCTCCAGCTCTCTCTTTGAGACAGTCTCACTATGTAGCCCTAGCTGGCCTACAACTCAAAGGAATCCCTCCTGCCTCAGCTTCCCAAGAGCAGGGATGATAGGCATGTGCCACCATGCCTGGTTTAATTTATATCAGACTGTAGCAGGCTAAGCAACTTCTCTTGTGTTTGTTGGCCACTGCTGGCAGCCAGGTCTTTGTCCCGTCCCTGTCACCCCACCCCTGTAACTGTGTGTGCTATTAAGTAGAAATGGGGGCTGGTATTCACCACAGCATCCAAAGGACCCGCTTCGCAGTCCCCCACCCCTCTCCACCTCCTCACCTCCTGCCACCTCTCCCCTGCTTCAGTGGTACCCATTAGTGAAAGCTGTGGCGATCAAGGGACCCTGAAAAGAAAAGAAGTAAGACTCCTGTGATCCTGGGGCAAGTTCAGACAAACTTGGAGCTCCTGTCATTCCTGTGGGAACCCCAAGGTGAAAGGCAGGTTCTTCCAGGTGGCGAGTGTCACCCTGATACTGATCTCCTCATGTGCAAGGCAGGGCCTGAGAACTTGAGCAGAGCTAGTTCCCTGGTTAAAACTGGGGTGCTCCTAGCTGGACTCTAACCACACAGAAAGGAGACGATAACCCGTTTGCACAACATCCTGGAGCCACGGGACAGTGTCCAGAAGACAGCGAGTAAAGCATGTCACAAGGCGCCCTCTTGTCCTCACTTTCTTCTCAGTCACCACCATTCAATCTCACTTTGCAGGAGAAAATGGACAAAGCCTCTCCCTCCCCCAGTTTCAGAGATCTCCCAAGATGAGGGGGTGAGATGGAGGCCATCAGGCCTGGCCACTCACCCCAAGACTGTGGCCGAAACCAGTGCTGGGGGCGGGGCTGGCGGCGCTGATGTAACTGCTGACCCCGGAGTCTTGATTGGCCGCCCCATAGAGCTCAGCCATGGGGCCGGGGCTTGTGGTCCCCAGGAAGCCCCCTGTGCGGCTGGGAGTAGAACCTGGAGGGGGAGCCATCGTCCAGGGGTGAGAGCCTGGCAACCCAGAAAGAAGACAGTGATAGCCCGGATGCCCACAGCCACCCCACCAGACGCGCACTCCGTCCCTGCCCAGGGCCTGTAGAGGCCCCTCCCTGGAGATCGGAGATCACTAAGTCCCTCCTCCCCAGCCCCTACCTCCTTCTGACCACTGGACATCCCCCTCTCCCTGTGAGCCCCTTTAAGTCTTCCTGCGTCTTGCAACCTAGTGCACTGTCTAAAGCTGCCCTATGTCACTCTGTTGCTCCCTGCTGCTGTAATTGACCCATGCTGTTCCCTCAGCTAGAACAACCCTTGCCCCTTCTTTCACCTTCTCCCAACTCCTCTAGGACCTGATGTCCCCAGAATCACAGCAGCGATCTTCAGGGTTATGCCCCTCTGCATCCTGATTCCCCAGTGTGTATGCTCTGGGGGGCACTACCAGTGCCACCCTCGGTGGCTCCTGTACTCAGCTCAGCCACAACTTTAGGATGAGTGAATAAAGGAGCCCCTTTGTCAATGGGTGGAGCAGGAGCCTCTTCCTTTGGACACCTCCACCCACTCCCTTCCCAGAAGGCCTCACCTGTCCCTCGAACTACAGCTGCTGCCGCTGCTGCTGCTGCCATCGGACCGTAAGCAGTGAGAGGAATAGCTGGAAGACAAAGTGTGGGCACTGAGTGCAAGGAAGAGGGGACGACAGAGGACCCTAACATCTGGCAGGGCTTCTCCTGCCTGGGGAAGGGGTCACTGTGTCCTCCCCCAAATCCCCTTCCTGCCAGGTCAAAGCATAGATAGCCACTGTGGACAGCCACTCTGTGTCCTGGCCTGATGCGTCCCAGTGAGCAGCCCATCCTCAGTTTCCACACTGGCAGAGGCAGTAGCACCTGGTCCTCAGGAAGGACAGTGACCACATCTGGCTCAGAGTGGTCAGGACATTATGTTACTTTCCCAGCTAGTCACCGACTGACCCACGGCACAGAAGCCAGGCCTGTTACCTCAAGGCAGGACTGGCTGAGGACTGTGGAGCTACAGAGCTCCCCACAGGATCAGGCCAATAAGGTCAGCTATGTCTTGCTGCTGTGTGTCCTGAATCCCCTCTCTCTCCTCAGGACCTTCATGACTACCAGGCTAAAAACAACCTGCGCCCCCTCCAAGTCCCTCAGCCCCCTCTTCTGTCTTCCTCTCTCTGAACACAGGGTTCTTGTTCTTTACATCTGCTTCCCTCAGCAGCTCTTTATACAACAGGTACTCAATAAATGGCTGCACTAAAAAGGTAAAAGAGACTTCTGCCTTTTTTCACTCCCACCCCACCCCACCCCACCCCCGACTTCTTTTTGGCTTTTTTGAGACATGGCCTTGTCGTGTAGTCCAGGCTGGCCCCAGACTCACTTCTGATTCTCCTGCCTCCAACTCCCAAAGGCTGGGGTTATAAGCATGTGCCATCATAACTGGTTCTGTACAGTGCTGGGGGAACTGACGCTGGGGCTTCATGCAGATAAACCTGTCCTGCCCCCAGTCCACCCCTTGAAAATCTTTAGCAAAGACATTGTGTAGGGGACTCAAACCCAGCGACTGTGGTTCCTGAGCTCTGCAGCCACCTCCGCAGACCATCATCAGGCTTCCACCGAGGCTCCCCTCCTCTCCTTTTCCTCTCCCTCCCACCAGCATGAGACAGACCCCAAGTCCTCAGCACAACACAGCGCTGTGCTTTATCATCCCATGGAGCTTCATTTACTTCATTAATCTATCTGGTCTCTATTAACATATCAACTCCTGGAAGGCAGTGGCCTTATCTACTTATTTGTGTGTGTGTGTGTGTGTGTGTGTGTGTGTGTGTGTGTGTGTGTCCCCGTGCCTGGTCCAGCGTAGGCACAATAAATATGTACTGAACACATAAAAGAAATACCCCAATCTCTTTGTTCCAAGCCAAGACAAAAGTTTAGACACCACACTCCCAAGAGCTATGGAGACTGGAACCCATGCCCTCCTCTGCCAAGATACCTGCAGCATTGACATTTCCTGACTCAAGCATACAGGATAGACAATGGGCACTAAGATCTCGGTCCTAACCCTTCACAAAGCAAACTCTAAGTAGCCAACCTCACTGAGCGTTTATCTCAGTGTAAAGAATTATTCTTGGTATAATAAATATTTGTTATCCTCGATAGCCTGTACATTCAGTGTGAGACCAGGGCCCGGGTAGCCTTGCTTCTTCTTGCCGCCCAACCCCAACCCCCG